AAAAAAAAAAGAAATTACAACAAACAGACACAGAGCGTCATCACATTTTTCGTACCTAAATCTGACATAGTACGAATATTGGGACTGAAACTAGGATTTACGCTAATTTTAGAAATCAAATAATGTCTCTATTCGCACAATTGACGGATTTCACTCCATTATAATTAATGTTTTATAAGAAAACAATCTATAGCTCCTTCTTTTCAAAATTAAACAAGTTGCTGTCCTTCCTGTTCTTTTTCTTTTTCTTCATGTTCTTTAATCAACTGTGAAACCTCAGCACTAGTCAGATTCTCCACTACTGTTTTATCATTACTTCGTGTTAGTGTTGCCATTTCAACTGAAAAATTATTAAATTAAAGGATGATAAAAGTTCAGTTGAGAAAGTAGATCAGGATTGATATTTAATATCTGAAGAACCGCAGTATATGAACAAAATCTGGATTGCAAAAAAGGGAATACAGAATTGACTGGTAAATTAGAGCAGCATGTCTAATAGTGGGAAAGAAACTGTAAATTAGATTCTAAATTTAAAAAAAAAAAAAACTGTGTAGGAAGTCTTTTGTCCTCATTTTAAGCTCTCTCTAATCATTCCGTTTATTAATTTATTATTAGCATAATGAAGAGAATGCATAGTGAAAAGTAGAGAAAAGAGGATACAAAGATTTCCAAACTAATGAACCAAAATTTAAAGTCTTACAAGAAAAGCATTTTTAATAAAACCATACTTTTTTCCGCCGATAATTTTACGTCTAAAGTCTTTGATAAGACCTTCATGGCCAGTTTCTTGGCTTCAATCAGGTCGGGTGATTTGTACTCCTGCTTCAACAACGATACGGCAGCCTGGAAAATTCCAAATAATAAACTATCCAGCAGATATGATCAAACTAGCACAAGTGCCGGTATTCTGCAGTTCAATGCTCCTAGGTTTACCGGGATTTCAATAACAGTCTTTGATATAACACCAGAGGTCAGCGATGACTCTAACTCGTTATAACTTTGGATCTACTCTTTCGATATATTGAATAATGTGAAAGTATAGGACGAGAAGACATTATAGTGATATTAAAATAATCATTAAGAAAAAAGATTAAAGAAGCAGAAGTGGACCTAGACCGTCGCAGTAATAAATAATTATACAACAAATGCATCATACGCACCTGATGATTATTCCCTATGCATGTTGCTTTCCAACCGGTGTAGTTGCCACTCGGATCGGACTGATAAAGCTGGTAACCAAAATGCTGGTCCCAACCCATATACAGCAGTGAAACACCAAATGGTCGCTTTCCTGTAGAAAGAGTCGATCAAAGAGTTTAAAGATTCCAGGTTTCTACAAAGTTAGAATAGGCAATTTAAGGTTCATTTTTTGTAGGTATGGTAGATATTGCTCTTTTGCAGGAACCCATTCAATCAGAAGACGTTGATTAGGTATTGTTGGGATTCTATAATCCTGCTAACTGCACTGTCAAACTCTGAGAACTTACAAGAAGCAAAATAATGTTTAGCTAGCCACAAGAGAATCGCATTACAATTTTACCAATTTTATAATTATTTTATACAAGAAACTAGTAGAAATATGAAACAAACCTACCTCCAACTTGTGTATAACGCTGCTTCTCGTTACAAAGCATTTGCACCAACTGTTCAACAGGAATATGCTCACCGTAACTATATTTGTAATCCGCTGCCCAAAATCTTAGATGGTTTATTAAGATGTTGGCATCGGCTGTGATCCCCGCAACCGTACACGCGATATTATCTGCTAGCCGATAAATTTTTTCAGTTAAAACCTGAAATGTGACATGCAATAGAAAGCGACTTATTTAAACATGAACTAATAGCAATCACAAGTTATCTAATCGTTTGATGCAACTTGTAGCGAGTGCTTTTCGACAAAATAAATTTTTTAAAAGGAAACCATTGTCAAATTTATGCGTTGAATATAGAAGAATTTTTCATCCCATTTCTCTGGCAAAGCGCTTTCCTCCTCTTCATTTTCCAACTCACCAGATGACTTCGCACTTTTTATCAAATATAATGATTAGTGAAGTAATAAACGAAGGCAATAACTCCAGAAATGAAAAAATATCAAAAATACATACTTCATCGTCAAGCAGCTTATGTACGTTCCGTTTCTCAGCGGCAATAAGGATACCATCTGAGGCTAAAATACCAAGACAGGTACCCGCATGAGATATAGCCTCCATTGCATATTCCACTTGATAAAGTCGACCTTCTGGTGAGAAGATTGTCGTGCGCGTATCATAACGTCGAGCCTGAAGACTGAATTACATCAACTTTTTGCAAAAATGATACTGTCCTAGGGGAGTGAAAGTAGCTATCGAAGCTAATTTTACAGATAACAGCAGTCATAGTTTTCATTATGCACTATTAATATGTTGATCATGTGTTCAATAGCGTAAAACAAGCATGATATAAACTATGAATGACCAGTACGTTATATTCACGCTGTTAGGGCTTCACTATTCTTTATGGTAGTCTTTATCCGCATAATGCGTTAATTATATCACGGATCTTATAAAAAGCTGCATGAAATGGTATGGTTTATTAGAATATTCATAGTTCTTTGCAATAATACTAAGATGCTTTATAGGGTATGTTCTTCCCTGGAGGAAAAGTTAGGGAGCACAACAGTTCCAACTAACTTATTTGTGGGTTACTTAAAAAAAAAAAGAAGACTGTCGAAAACCCAAATAATACCCAGTGTTCCCTTATCACCTAAAATATTTGAAGCTGTCGTCAAAGCATTCTGTAATGATTTGAACAGTCCGCTATGGGATATGCTACGCAACACTTTTAACTTATTTGCTATAAAATAAGTTGGAAATGAAAAGAGAAAAACGAGATTTGGCCACAACCATAAAGTTGAAACATAATTACCCTAATATATTGAATTGCAATTGCAATTTACACCTACCTACGTAGAGATCACTCAAAATGCTTTGAGAGAGGAAGAAAACCCTAAGTCCTGTCCTGAAATAACAACAAATTGTTAGGTGATGTAATTTCTCCACTTTATTGCTATTCTTTTCCATTATTTTTCTCTTTTGCTTATCCATTTTTGGTTGATCTATACATGGGTACGTGTAACAAATTTATGTAACAAATTTATGAAGACTTAATTCTCAAGCACCAAGGCTACGTAAGAATATTTCTAATTAAAAAAAGACTTGCCATAACTTGATGATATTATCGTTGATTCCTAAACGATGAGTCTCCCTGAAACTAACACAAAGTCGACAATCACGATCACGTAAATTAAAGAAACAATTAACAAGTAAATCACACATCGCGCCATGCTTATCAACATTTTTCCAACCTGATGAAGACACTGTATAATACCAACCTAGAATTTCAAAACTAATATCTAATACCGTCCCCAGTTCTTCACGCTTGGAGACTATGTCCCCCGTCCTCATCTCATCTCTCCCGTTTACTCATCTTCCGACCAACCTGTCCCGCTGTGTAATGTCACATTTGCTCTGATGCGGACTTTATGCAAAAACTCGCTCCCACAGCAATGTGTTATACAAGAAAAAAAAGTTGCCAAAATTGAAGGGGAAGATAAGGTGATTAACTACTTGGATTAGTGAAATTTCTATAAGGTTGATGGTGTTTTCTTGTACTAAAATGATTTATTCAGGTTTCTTTTACAGGTTCAAAAATGACTAATCAGTGTCAATGTACATTTGCAGTATGATGCAATTCAATTACAAAATTATGAAAAGTACTTTATTCTGATGACACATGTTTAAGGTATAAATATCTAAGAACATCATCATAACCAGTGAATACATCGATATCCATAGTATACAGCGAAATATCAGTATACACTTGAGCTTGTGGTGGATAACCTCGTCGTAGTTTCTTGCATTGCGTCCCGTAGGACAGAACACCAAGCAGCGACCATTGACCAGTTGGTCCAAGCGCAATTAAACCTCCTCCACTATCACCCTGAAAAGTACTTAGTTACAAGGATAGATTAACTCAAAAATGTTAATAATTTTAAGGATAACATTTAAACTTAACAAATTTGCATGATTGAATTGAATGGATCGATCTGTAATCCTCAAAACTTTCCGCTATTTCGTTTCTTTAGCGGTCATAATCTCAAAGTGAGGTGTAAAACACGTAAAATTGCAGGTAGATCGCGATAGTCAAATCAGAATAAGTGTCAGACTATGAATGCTTCTAGAAAACGACATCCGAAGAAACGGAATGATTCGGAAGATCATGAGAAGTGTTGTGAGCGAAAATCGGATCAGCGAATTCATCGGCGCAAACAGTCTACATCACAGATGATGAATCCTTCGACGAATTTTACACACTACTTCGAGAATGAAAAGATTGAAAACGATCAGGTGTGTTCAAGTTTTTTTTCTATTTTTTTTTTTAAATTCCAAATACGCGTATGCATAAGCTATGCATAAGCTCTTGATATATGCAAATTCAGTTCATAGGCACAGTCTATAATCAGCATTTTGACTTTCTTGTAAAGAAAATCATCCATCGTTAGGAAATGCTCTACATTGAATAATATCGAAAGGTCACAGCTATTCATTATAGTATTTATAAGTTATAGTCTTATGGTGAAGAAGAGTGTATGAGTGGAGAAGATAACGAGGATCTGATGGAACATATACAAATTTTGCTGGATTCTTATCCCAAGTGTAATTTTGTCCAGCAAATATTGCAGAGATTATGTAACGAAGGAACGGTATATCATTTATGATTTGTTATTCATGTCAGTCTACAGATTAGAAGAGCCGCTAATAAGTGAGTTATTGTAATTTTAACGAGAAGTAGGGTTGTCCATGAGTTGAGTCTCAAAAAAAATCTCAGAAATGACAATTACAGGTGAATGAGGAAATGATAGCACATCTCATCGATAGATCAATTCGTAAGCAAACAGAGATTCAAAAACAAATTGACAGTCTAAAAAGCAATCAAGTCAAAAAAACCGTTGGAGATGAGCATTATCAAGGTATTATTGAACTTCTTCATTTCGTAAATTAAGCAAAGAGTGGGCAAAAACAAATTGGCAGTTTGAAATTTTCGAAAGTTTCAGAGAAAGTACTTAAGTAAAGGAAAGGTAAAAGTTCTGGTTCCAGAAAACTCATGAGGCTTAAAATATGAAATTCCAAGTCCAGAATGATTTTATTGCTGCTACAAGACCCATTTCATGTTTCACTGGCTATATTTCCAGGACACTTAAAAATAACTTTTTAAAAGTAACTTTGGAAAGTAACATTTGGGAAGTAACTTTTTCCTTATCAAAGCAATAATTGGAGGAACACCCATACTATAACTAAATGTATTAATTGCAATTCAAAATACTGAAAATTTAAAAAAAAAGCAAGATTAATTAACCCGGCATGTGCTTGCTACCCTACTTTCCACTGCACAAATCGCATCTTTTGTTTTTGATATTTGCAAACATTCCAGTCGATTCATTGTTTTTGGAAAATTGATCACCTGTAGATTATTTGCTAACTCTTCACCATCAAAGGATGCTGAAATCAACGAGCTCTCAGTCTAAATCATCATTGGCATTTCTTGGAGTTAAATCTAAAATTTGATAAACTCACGAACGGAACCCCAACCATAACCAGTTAACCGAATTCGATCATCTTCTCTGATAATATTTCGATGCCATAAGCAAATATAATTGGTTAATGGTTCTTCAATTATATCCTCCAATTCTAGCAGTGCAAAATCTGCCATTAAACACCTCTCATTAAAAAACCGTCCATATTGCGCCCTTAAATATACGGCATAATTGTAATCTATAATATGGGAGAAGTTATCTGCAATGATATAGTGGTAATAGATAGTGATAATAGATATAGTGGTAATAAATATGAATAGATATGCATATAAAATGTCAACTTTTGAAATATTAATATCCTAATATGCCGAATAAGCAGTAAAAGCAAATTATTATAGGAAACATTTTTTCTGTCATTACAAACGCAAGAACTATCTCAATTATTTTGCATATTGAAGGTTTTTTCCTTTTTTTTTTAGCATGTTTTCATGCTGATGACATTTCAGAAGAGTCATGGGAGTCGTCAAACTATTCCGCTTGATCCGTCTATTGTCTGATTGATTGATTGATGATTTGGATGTTAATATTTCATTTACAGTTGCTTAGAAAATAGCGGTCATAAAGGAATAAGACAAAATTTAATGAATAAAGTTGCCCAAATATTCACTGTTAAATTTTAAAGTTAAAATCTCAAAAGCAGAAATTATAATTCAACCTGACGATTCGGCTTATTTTCATTTCTGGCGCATTGTTACATGAATTTTCATTCTGTTGTTTTATACAATTGCTACCATATAAAACACTATACTTTTCCAGAGCTACTTTTTGGTAATAACCAAAAGATACGCTGAAAATTATCGGTCATCTTAAAATTGAACTGTATCAATTGCGGATGAAATTAAGCTATGCCTACTGGTATAAGAATACGTGTAATTTTTGTTTTACGTGTAATTTTTGTATTCATTTCAAAGCTTTGTTAATATCAGCATTAACAGAGGAAGTTTTTCTTATCATCTTTGATATCCATCATGTTGATTAGGTACCATTTCCAATATATTTACCATTTCCAATATATTCCGGATTCTAGTCTCAAATTACAATTTAATTTTTGAAGTAAGCTAGTCACTAGTTTACATTATACATAATTAAAGCTAGAGGATCTGCATAATAGTAATACGTATGATAACTTTTTATAACGTAGAATGAAAATCAGTTGTTTCCGGAATATTTCTATGATATAATTTTCAAGTAGAAATTTCAGACTTTCAATTTTTCTAAATATCTCCAGAATTCTAAGTATCTAATGATAGAATCACTTATGTGGCAAAAAAAAGAGACATTACTTGTGTTCCAGAAGTAAAACAGCTAAAAAAAACCAGAAAAAACGATTAGGACTTCTCCAAAATTGAAATCGCCTGTTTTTCTTCTGATATCTCTATTGCTACTAATTATTTATTATGCTTCAAACATTCAACTCATAAGTAAAGCCCATAATTTGTATCACTGATTGAAGGGATGATTATTATTATTACTAATATATACCGTAGTGATGTTGTTTGTTGAATAAAAACTCTTACATTCACTAATCTATATGGCTTAATTCCATAAGTATTTAACTACTGTTATCATTCGACTTTTCGAAGAGATCCAACTAATCCTGTGATCTGTTATCATTCTCATGAAGGTATTAGAAATTATTATTAACATTGTTTAAAAAAATAACGAACTTGCATGGTCTTGTAGCAAAAAGCCTTTTAAAACAATGTGCAGCTGTGATAACATGTTTTCGTGATATCAATGTTCCCGTACAAACGTATACTATAAAACAGAAGTAAGATTTATTTTTAATTGTAATACGTTCCGGAAAACAGGAATATTAACAGATTTTTTCAACAATTGAATATTTTGATAAAATTCAAAAATCATCATCTAAACCATCTGAAACAGTCGCATTGAATTAATTTAGATTTAATATCATTAGAAAATGTTGCTAATCTTTAGATAAAATAAGTTAACAGACAAATTCGTTTTATCATTAGTAGATTATGCAAAAAAAAAGAGAAATTCGATATTACTGATTCATTCAGTTTACTTTTAAATCAATCAAAACTTTAATCATTTAATTATTTTCAATAATAATTTAAGCAAAACTTATAATTTATGTGATCAATTAGTTAGTAGTAAGAATGACACTTATCATACTATCCCTCAAATTATTGTTAATAAAAACGGAATATGATATTATTTGGGGAGGGGAAAAAAAAAGTGGATATATTGAAATTTATACAATTGAAACAGCCAAAAGACAAACTTCGGCCATGAAATAATGCTACAGCCCATGGCATCTCTCCTAATGAAGCATTTTCTCCACCCATTATCTTAAATTGGCTTTCTCTAATCGTTATATTGGTTGTACCACATTTTACTGGATCTATAATCATTTATTTTATTCTTATATATTAATTAATTAATATTAATAAATTTTAATAAATATTACGCATAAAACTTTCTAGCTTCTTTCTCAATTCTCTTTCAAAAACTTCTTCTGAAAATGAATCCACAATTTTATCCGGTAATGAAAATCTTAATAATGAAAACTAATTAATTAAACTTTGATTTATTAATTTAGTCTAATTTTTATGGAAGTAATGAAAGGAAAAATTGTTAATTCAAACCGTAATATTTATCCAATGGAGTAAATATATCTTTGAAAGCTGAAAAAAAAAAAAAGCTTGAAATTCGCCGAAAACAATATCAATCGTTTTTATTTTCATCTATATTTTAAGCCATTAAACTCAATAATATTCTGGTAGATTAAAAAATAAAAAAAAATGTTAAGAATTAAAATTCTATTTGAAATATGAAGTGAATTTACAAGTATTCAATAATAATATGTTACTTTCAATAAAATAAACATATCTTTAGCAGGCAAATTTTTAGGAGAAACTAACATTTCAAACTTAAAATACCATTAAGTAATAAAATTATTATCATTACATTATTTAACCATCGTTTCTTTTTCCTCATCCAACTCATCTATCTACCTTTAATTACAACTGTTTCTTCAAAAATAGGCATACAAGAAAGAAGTACCAAATACATTGATCTATTTTTCGATTTTTTTTTTTAAATTTCGGCAAAAAGAAAACGCAAAATTTGCATAAATATAATTTAACAAAATTGAAATGATTTCCAGGTAAATGTAAATCATTTATCAATCTGTATGCAAATTACTCATCTATTTATTAAATTCATTCAATGTTTATAAGGGACCATGTATATCAAAGTAAAATACTGCAAGTACTACTAGACCAATCTTACTATAAACATTCCTAAGAATTACTTTCAGGTATAAAACTTACAAACATTGTGATTTCTTCATTGATTCCCTCGAGAATTATATATTAAAATCCTCAAACCGTACAGTTAATTAGTTCATTTATCACTTATCTCTATTCATTTATCACCTTTTATCAGTTCCGATCTTTTAAGTTCAAAATTCATTTCCAGATCCACATTTATCAAGCAATATAAGAATATAAGGGAAACACTGAGGAGAATACAATGTAAATGTTGTCTACCATTCTTAAAAATTTCAATAATCTGATATGATAGAATTTAAATTAATCCTTAAATATACTCCACTGATGTTATTCATATAATCTAAGAATACTGGATTAGTCCATTTCATCAAGCAGTATTCAAATGTAAGGAATGAGATTTTGTTTAAAAATAATATCCCAATTTCTTACTCTCTAAAGTCTATTCAAATATTTGGATATCATAAACAACTTAGATTTTCAATGCAAAATTAGTAATAAAACTCATCATTGATCATTTAAAAGATTAAATATGAACACATTTCGAGAATAACTTTATTTATCGATGTACTAATCATTTAACATATAGCTCTCAAACACTAATGCAAAAAGTGATAATAATCACATAAAAAAGAAATTCCAAAAAGTTAAACTCGAAATCTCTTTAATTTCTAAGATCCCAAATTATGAATATTTTAAAACGGCAAAATGACATATATAGATGACAAAACGAATCTAAATTCAAAATCAAAAAGCAGAACAAAATTTCATCCACAGAATAATAATAATAATAATAATAATAAATAGAGGAAACAAGAGCAAAGATTTCATGATATCTCAGAAAAGCAACGAAACTAGTTTGTCATAAAATGGAAGTGAAAGAGAAAATATCAGATATTGTAAATATAAAAAAACTAACATCAAATGAGTTTAAAAAATACAAAGTGGACGTAGAACTTTTTTTTTTTAATTTCAGATACATTTCTTGAAAATGCGATAACAATGAATGATGAAATGAAACTTCATAATGATACCCTCAAAATAATAAATTATTCCACACTTGGTTAAATTGCAACATTAAATCAACCTATCCAAAAGTTCAGACGTCAGCCTGCTACCTATTCATTTCATGCGAAAATATAATGCCAAGTTAGATTTTAAACCAGAATTCATCGAATATGCAAATTTGGGGTTTTTCAGAACTGATGATGCTTAACAGGTACGAAAAATAAACTTACAATACTGATGAAATTGAAGAAAACCTCATATTAAGGATGAAAGATACTAATTGATTAATCGACTTTTTTAGCAATGATTTTACACTTTTCGTTTTAATATAATTGTAAAAAGTGCATATGAAATGAGAGGTGGAACATTCACAATCAACCATAAATCCACGCAACAATTGGCATGCTACAGATCAAAAACAATATTGCCTTCCACTTTTAACCATACTGTTTGAAATCCTTTGATCATGACCGCCTTGCTCAACAAGAAAAAGTATTCAATTACTAAGAAAACAAATAAGGTGCGCTCCTAAGAATTTTATCAACCGTGAATTCGTGAACAATAACTAGGTTTTATACTTTATTTTTACTCGAATCTGCCAATGATTTAGTGTCATCCTACTGGAATTGAGGCAAGACTGCAATTGTAAAAATACTGAATGTGAGAATTCCACACTAAGATGATTTTAGAACATTTAGTCTTTCAGACATCATCGGATATTTTAACAGTATGGTTGAAAATTACAATTATTTATCAATCTATTAAGAATGCTCCCATATAAATTACAGCTCCACAAGTATACATAAGCCTTGTCCTTACTTCACGACATATATTTTAATTGTGAGTCGGAAAAGAGGATATTTCTTAAAATCCAAGAGTACTGATCTACTACACCCTCAATTTTGATGGGATTAGCGCTTATAAGAAGTTATCAATCGAATCAACTTGATTACAGAATGAATCAGCTTCATTATATAAATACTATTCTGTTTCTATTCAGAGCAATTTTCAGAACTTCTTTTACAATATTTTGAAATGGTTGAAAGTTTAGCAAAATTAAAAGATGCATAAGCATATAATTAAACTAGTAATTACTCTTCTAACTTCCAATACCTCTGTGAAAAGAAGAAACAAAACAAAAAAGTAAAGATGAAAAAAGTACTTCTTAAAAACCAGGTTTTTCATATGTCGAAATCAATCTCAGTTAGTTCGATTTCCAGTGAGGAACACCATTATCCCTGCATTTAATTCAAAAATGAAAACCGGGTGAGGAAACTAAATTATTGAAAGATTTTATGATCCAAAAGAAAGCACATATTTTATAAAAAAACCAACAATAAGCAGATTTATAGAGAAAATACTTATCGCCAGTTACTGTACATTTGATGATCCTGTGTAGCATTCACTTGTTGCTGCTGTTGTTCACCATACAGCTGTTTTTGCCGTTGTTTTTGCTGCTGTTGCAACAAAAACTGCTGCTGTTGATAACTGTCTGATGATTCATGGGTCATGAGTTGCTGTTGCCGAGTAGGCGGTTGTGATAAGGGTGAAAAAGCTGAGGAACAACCCGCTGAAGATACAGAATGTTGCGGGTATATAACCTTTTGAGATGAAAGCACACTGTTGTAAGCTCGTGAAGCATTGTGAGGAATACTGCAAGTCGGAAGGGAAGCCTTTTGGATGTTCGTGGTAGTGCAGTAAGTAGAAGATGGATAACTGTACGGATGTTGTATGGGACCATGTTGATGTTGATTTTCTTGTTGTTGAGAAACTTGAGAAGCATGACGAATCGTTGGCGTATGTTGGGATTGGAGATTCTTGGAAGAGATATGACGCTGTTGAGCCGAATAAGGGAAAAAAGCAGGTTGTTGCTGAGTCATCTGTGACGTAGTAAAAGTGCCACTTGCGTGAGTCAAAGCAGTAGAATGCGATGATGAAGTGGAATGCAACGTTAGCGGCTGATTAGGTAGCGGAGGAGAAGAAACAGAAAGTTGCTTGACACCCCAAGAAGGTTGCTCCTGTACACAGGATGATTGATAATTGCTGGCCTGAGAATCTGGGCTTGCTATAGATGTAATTTCCTGCATGGCTTGTTGGAGGGTTGTAGAGTGCTGTTGCGAAGAATTTGAATGTTTGTACGCTTCCGAAAATCTGCTCCTGGAAATATCTTTTCAAAAATTTTTGGAAGGAACTTCACTTAAGTTTCACTTATAAACTTTTCTCAAGGACAAAAATAACTCACGATGAATTAGCAGTGGTAGCACAGACAGATACACCTGTGTGAAACTTCTGGGAAGCAGTCACTGTTACCGGCGACGGTTGTTTGTATGATGATGTGAAATGCACAACGTTTGTTTGCCGGCTGCTTTGTGAACGAGTGATTCGCGGCATTGAATATGGATGTACCGGTTGCACACTCATTTTTGTGACGGGATCTTGAGGTGAGCTTTGCTCCGACAGACCATTACTGCATGATTTCATTTTCTGGAATTAATAACTCAGAAAAGTATAAACTGATGTAATCATGTACTAAAAAATTTTTAATTGCAAATTCATAACAAAAAAGAATATCCCAATTGTTAAATCGCATAAGATTCAAATTATTTATGAGCATCCCCTCTACTGATTCTCTTGCCGGAATGATAACAAAAATAACTTTCCAATTGGGAAATATAGCAAAGGGGGCCATAATGTGAAATTCGGTTTAGAAATTTCAAATTATATTTTTTGTCAAAAGATAATCGGCACTGACAGAAAAAAGAAACACTAGCTCAGAAAAAATTTTGAAATAGTATTTTCAGCAATTTAACAAGTAAAAATCTGGATTCAAGGCGGTTATTAATTCAGAAATCGTTGATTCGAAAAAGTATTTTTACCACATGCTGTTCAGTTTCGGTACTACTACATGCCTGCTCACTCTCTGAGTTGCACATCTGACTTCCATTCCTCTGATCTACATTCACCTAAAATACGTGGGTTGGGTAAGGTGCAGCAATTCATTGTTATTTGCAGAAATTAGCAAGATTTATTCAAGTTAGTGACAGTAAACTTATCAAGTTGAGGATCTGATAAACAATCATCTGTCAATCAACATACGTCTTCTTCGGTATTCATATCAACTTCAGTATCAGCGCCTAATTCCACTTCCTCAATTTCTTGCAAGTCCGAATCCTGTAAGTGATAGAAAAGTAGAGCGGAGGATAAAAAAAAGATGGTTACGACTAAGCTAAAAGTATGCACAAGAGATCCCACAATATGAAGCTGAAATTTAAACTGGAAACCTGAAAGATAATCTACTGAAGGCGGAAAAAAATTGTCTCGATAGCATTTTTACATCATGTAAATGATGTCATATCGCTAACAATGTTGACTATCGTTTGATGAATAATGAAATACTTTCAGAAGCTTAGCTTCTGTTGAGATTTTCACAGGATGTCGAAATATTAAATGAATTTCTTTTTCTGCACCTATAATGAAGAGTGGAACGCCGAGCAGGAAATTAGCAAGATGGTGAAATCTTTAAATAAGAAGTGAGTTGTTGCTAAATTACTCCCCTTTTTATATTACGATATATTATTTCAGTTTTTCTCAACAGTTTTTGTTTGGATAACAAGCTTTTTTTTTGAACCAAAAATGCCTAAATCGGAAAAAAGTACTTTTGGTCTCATAGCAAATATCACTGACTCCACAGCACCCAGCTCTTCATCTTCATCTCTACTTGCTTCCAGTCGTTCGGCTTCCTAAAAAAAAAATTTATCAGTGAAAGTAATTAAAGTGAGTTTGTAAATTAATAGATTTTCCTGAAGTGGATAACTAATTTTTTCTCTATACTTGCCTCTTGTTCCCATTTTTTTAATAGCTTCTTCATCTCGCTTTCTATTTTCAGCTACTTCACGTTCTTTCTGCTCCTGAAAAATTAATTATATGTAACAAAGAAAATGTAAATATGAAAATCATCCTTCATCATGGAATTTAAGTGGAAAATAATCTCAAAAGTTAATCTAGCTTGCTTGCTACTTCACTTCCACATCCATTGACAAGGAATTTCCATTTTTCATTCTGTTCTTTATTCAGAAATGTGGCACATACCTGTAATTTTTGCTCAATCTCCTCACAACCTTTGAGTGTTTTCTGAAATCAGAGCATGAAAATTACTCGGAAATATAATCTTCCATGCCAAAGAAAATGAAACTTTTTGACTTCTCACCCATCTTAAAACCGTAACATAAAGAACTAGTCTTCCAAAATAATTGATAACCTAAAATCTCATTCAATTTAGAATACACCTAAAACTTTGCAAAACAATCCCACCTCAGCTACTGCTTTTTCACCCAACAATTTCTCTCGTTCCTTGCTCTCTCGAACTAATATGACTTTTTGTCCAGAAGTTAATTTAGGCGTAAGAAGTACGGACGAACGACTTGAGCCAGCCTGAAAGTAACCCCACTGACTGTCAATGGCTAAAATATAAGAATTACTTGTCAAATCTTTTGCAAATCAAGGATACAAAATATCTAAAAATGACATGGTTAAGACAGAAGATGCACTTTCGCCGCAATCTACACCTCTTGGTGTGGCAAATTCCGAAAGTCGATTTATGATGATGACCCAACTTTCTCTTTTGGAAATCTTTGGACCTAAACATCTTTTCTACTATCAGCATAAAATGTGGATAATCAAAGCATTTATCAGCTCTTCTGAAAGTGTTTCAGAATAGAGATATATATTAATAATGTCCAGTCAGATTTTACACTGGCTGAACTGTACTTTTCTCAGCATTGGAAATCCCGATTTCTGAACTATTATTCCGTTCAGCAACGCCAATCTCTTCACTGTAGTTACAGAAATGACTGATACTGAGGATGAAATTAAATCAAGACGAAATTAAATCAAACGTTACGAGCTTTAAAACTAAGATAAGATCAGACTGAAGAGAAGTCAATTTATTTTACTGTTATTGCAACTATCAAATCATCGCGCGTTTCATGTAAAAAAAAATAATAATAGCTGACAATAAACTACATTATTAACAACTCAACTCACCAAAATTTCAACCTCCATTCCATTGCTGCACTTTACAGAGCAGTTTTCTTTTCTATCGACAGTATTCGATGAGCGGAAATCTGCAGCATTAGTAATTGATGCTTGTCGAAGTTCAGCGTTTGATATGTTTTTATTCGGGGAAATTTTCGCAGATGATGAATCGGTTCTTGAAGTTTTCAGTGTTTTCGATGTTACTTGAGACACTCCGCTAAAACATTAAATTATTTTGATTAATTAAAGACTAAAATCAGCGCGATACAAAACTACTGATTTAATCGAGTTCGCTAATTTGATTTTTCCTCTTGTTTTTATAAATTATCCATCGCATCACCATACTTAATATGAATGGCGATAGATGGAAAAATGATAAATCAGCATGACCATAATGACTACCTGATCACTCACATTAGTAAATTTCCGTACGATGAAACTATCATGACAAATATATATATATATATATATATATGATGTCATACAATTCACTTGGACTAAAGAAATAAGCAGCAATTACCAATAATATATTTAAAAGCATAAAATTTATTCGTTATTCTTCTTATCCAGATATTGTTAAATTTCATTATAATATAATACTGAATCTAAAATTTAATAGGATCCCAAAAGTTACTAAAAATTTTAGTTTAGCAAAACTAATTATTAGGAAATGATTAACTAACGACTGTGCTTTAGAAGCATCACTTAGTTCAATAAACGCTTTCATCTCAGGAATAAGAACTAGCTGTCGTCTTTCTGGGCATAATCGCAATATCTCCAACACCAAATCTCTGTAAGGATAAGAATAATTTTGTTAGCCATGTTTTTCCTGTTCAGTTAGGATAATACCAACTTTCCAAAATCGAAACTCGAACTCAGTTTATCTCTCATAATTTCCATAGACACTGGTATTTGTGCAGTTATACCAAACTATTAACAGTAAAGCAGTTCAGCTCCCATCTTTCATATTGTTAACTGCTACTTCATATTTCTGTTGCATATGAAGGAGGAAAAGTCTATCAGAATATCAAAACAATACTATAAATCACCTAAATTTAACATAATCCTTGAAAAGCGGCCTAACAGTGTAGTATAAATATTGCACAACTGTTGTATTAGTAATATGAGTGGGGTCACCATGCTGCTCGAGACTAGCAAATAGCAAAGTCACTTGTTTTTTTAATGCTGCCCTGCAAAGAATATTAACATTTACACAAAAAAGATAAAAACGTTAGCAAATATTTTAATTTCGTATAAAAGGAAAACCGGCAATTCAGCAATATTTGAAGTATCGAGTATGAAATAATTTGGTAAGAACCTTATATGATATCCTTAATATCGGAAGAATCCCAACTTGATGGAATAACAATAAAGGTATCATAAAAATCAACAAAAAAAATACCTCAGCGGGTCAGTCCACAGAAACCGTTTCGGTGGCGCAATTTTACCTTCTTTTTCAGTCCTAAATTATTCTTTCACAAGTTTTTTTCCGAGTTGGCAATCTCAAAAACATAAAAACAATAATAACTTCATGCTTCCCACATGCTTACAGTCACGAATGAAAGGTTTGAAACCATCTAAATCTTTCACTATATATTTTACATTTACCTCATTTTCTCCTTTACATATTCGTTCTCGGTATGAATAAGAGCTTTTTCCACCTCTGAAAATTGCATAAATAAGAGCCTTTTCCACCTCAAGAAAATCAAATTGAGAATTGCAAACCTCACTTTTCACAATGTCTGTTCTCAATTTCTGTACTCGGACCATCCATATGTCTTACCTGAAACAACTTGTGCCAGCGCATTGTTGATTTCTTTCAAAGCACGTGAAGCTTTTTCATTCTTTGGTTGTTTGAATCCCTAAAATATAATATTTTATAATAGAGGACTTGAAACATAAAGTAAAAGTCCTGCCAATTATAAACGCTGACAGCAAGGGATTAACGCCGTCCCTAATGAGTGATCATGAATAATGATAAGGATAGGTATTTGCACTTTGCATATAATTCTTGAGGACTTACCTTTATTGGACTTGAATTAGAACTGCCATTAGCAAGTGCTCGATTTGGTTTTGGTTGAGATTTTGATGGTTGCGGGTCGCTTTTGGAAACAGTAGGCTTTGATGATGCAGGACTTTTCACAGAGCTAGTTGGTGTTATGGTAGTCATCCTAGAAAAATAGATTCAAGTTTGTCGCATCTTATCCTAGAACCTCTTGACGTTGTTTAAAAAAGTGAGGATCATTTAATATTCTCATGAAAGAAATCTGTTTCGTTTGATTTTTAAAAATATTATCAGTGGAATCAGTCAAATCACTTCGATACTACAATGGACGGCTTGAAAAACAAATTAATATTAATCTAATCGATGACATTAATCTAATCGATGAATCTAATCGATGCATGAAAAGCACACCCAACCCAGCGTCATATGAAAAAACTACAGACTACCATTGCAGTATTTGCCCGACAGCATAGCACAATGACATGTTCAAGCACAGATTTGTGGAAGTCAGTGAGATCTGACATATAAGTTAGTCTTTAAAATTTTTCTTCAAATGCATTAAATCACTACATAACCTACCACAGAAAGCTAATCGATGACTTTGCAAATTAACGGCTTGAAAATAAATTATTAAGCGATGTAATGATGGATACATCATGTAGCATATAAATTTAAAGACTACAGTGAAAAATTGCCTTATGTGCAATGTAAAACAGCTGTGATCTTTCCATGAGTAAGTTTATTCAGAAGAGCTTTTGTCAAGTAAATATAAATTCAGTTTTCAAGTCAGTTCCCATCTTCCTGTCAATCTGATTAAATAAAAACTCAAGAGAATAAGCGGTAAATAAAAATTGTTAGTTCAGAAAACTACATCGAGCATACATGACTCACTTTGAAAGATTATTGAGGGTCAATTGGAACTGCGACAAAAGTTCCGACTGCTGTTTACTACTTAGAAGATGAGCATTCATTTGTGCTGTTAAACTGTCAACGAAGCGTTGCTGCTGAAGGATGGAATCACCACGAGTTTGTTGCATCATTGTTGCAAACATAGATAACAACTGAGTGTTATTTAATGTACCAGTTACAGTCGTCGTAGGTGGAGCTTTCGATGGATTGAAAGCCTATAAAACAGTAATACAGATGACCCTTTGTCCCGATAATTTTGTCAATTTAAAGTCCGAATCGCCAATAAGTTCTACACAAAGACATCAAGATAAAATTTCGTGTCAAAAAAGTAGGTTAGGCATCTAATGAAGAGCATATTGTCCAAGATTTGTTAACGCATGAGAATAGATGAACATGGATAAGAAATTCCTTGACAAAAGAACTTACTGTTTTTGAACAGGCTGAAGAATCCAAATATTTGGTTACAGATATGGATGGAAGGGTAGTATCTGATGCGGTTCCTATCTTTTCAGTGCCTTCTTTCGTTGCTGGAGTATGTTTGGTACCTGATGATCTTGCAGCATCACTGCTTGTCGTATTCTTGACTCCAATAAGCTGTTCTTTCTTTTCCAGCGTCAATGCCTCGGGAGATTTCGGTGATGAATCGGGAATAGCAGGTGATGAAGAAATTGTAATGATGGAAGAAGACGAATCATTTGAACCAAGCACTTTTTCATCGTTCATAGAGCGCGGTGCTTCTTTCGTTTCACTCATTGGTTCATCTGCATTAATGTCCGAATCCGAAGCAGCGCTGGGCTGGAAATTATTAAGAATTATTGTAACAAAGTCATATACATATATATACATAAATATAAATATATATGTATATATATGTATATACATATATGATTACCAGAATTTTAGTGGTGGATTTAGATACACCACTAGCAGGATGATTTCTTGCATCAGAAATAATTTACGAGCTAGTTATAAATATATTATATCAAGCACTTGATTGAAATACATGAATTCTACTTTTTTTAGAAAATATCTGTTTTACTCAAAGTTCAATGATAGTTTTGGGCAAAAAAAATCTCGTACGTCATAAAGTAATTAAGCACGAAACAAGACTCTGCATATACATTATGCCATACCTTATCAAATAATCGGATATGCTTATGAAGTTATGTAGCAGTAGTTCTCAACCTTTTTTGACCAGGGAGCAATTTGACTTTTTTATGTAGCAGGGTCCAAAGGATTCAGAAACAATAAAGTTTATTTTCAAGTCAACTTCAATAAAAACTTTAAATATATTAGCTTATCAAACACTGATAAGAACAGCCCGCTTGTTTTCTATTCATTGCATTGCCGTCTTCGCGGACACCTGCGGTCCGCTGATTATCGAAATACTTCTGTATAATTATTATCAGTAACTGCCAGTCTATTTCAACTCTATTTCGACTAACTTCATGACGATCCCGATGAGCTTTCATACGGATATATAACGAATTTCGCTGCACACAGACCCAGTTGGCCAATAAATCAAAAATCCGCGTCTTCTGTTGATGATTAAAATGTTCCAACGTGCACTGCTCTTCGATTCTGTAAATTAATGCGTTGCTCATGTGCCAGAGACACCGACTATAAAGAAAGATTCCATTTACAATAGATGCACATTGAAAAATAGTAAAAATTCCTTAACGATATAAGGAACTATTTCGTTTTATTCCTTAATTGCATCCTCAGTATTATATTATCTTCTGTAAATTCTACATGCCAATTAGGAAACCTAATCTGACTAATACAGCCTCCTTCTTCATAATGAATTTTGTACTGACTTCCCTTCTTTTTAACGATTACTTAAAACGATTATTGTTCATCAAACAAAACAAACTTCAATTTGATGGACCCAAACCTTATGCAAAGATCAACCAAACTCGGTGGAAGACGGATTTTTTTATTGGGTGCACCAAATTCCTTGGTTTTCTGTTTGTATGTATCGATCATAGCTCGCAGTCTATCCGACATTATTGGCATTTGTTTGTGCTGAAATGCATGAAAATAGCAGAACAAAAGTTGAAAAAAATAATAAGAAAACGCTTGGGTGAATTGATTCATTCCAACGAATTTCAAAAATTCCAATGAACGAGATGTTTCCAGTCTTGAAGATTTTTTGCGTAATTAAAGTGCGACAATGAACTCTAGTCAGTAATCTAACCTGTATTTTTGAACCGGAAGGACGCCCAGGTGAGCGCTTCGGAATAGCTACAATGGATGAAGATCCAGCTAAACCTGAACTAGAAGCCTGTGACTGTGGTACTTTCTCAGTAGGAGGTGTTACCGGTTTATCGACATCAGTGTCATGTTCAATTGGTATGCTAGTCGTTTTTTGAAAGATCTGCTAGAAGAAAACAAGTTGAAAGCAGTTAGCATGCAGAAGTCATTACTAATTACATTTTAGAAAAAATGATGCTAATAGTTATAGGAAATTGAATCTGAACAAAAAGAAAATAAATAAAATAAACCGCACTTCTTTCGTCTCCGAAATTATGCCTTCCATTCCTTCCACGGCTTCCAGTTCACCACCTGTCATGTCTTTCAAAAACCCAGCTAAATCCTCACCGGTCATTGTAACAGTTGTTCTTTTCGCCTGTGGTTTCAGCCTTAAACAATAATGAAGAATATTATTTCCTGAAGTGATAAAACTATCTGAAAATCCAAAAATCAGAATTGAAATTAATGACTCATACTGGCGCATCGACCTGTGAAATCACGACAATAACGACTAGAACAGCAGTGAAGTCAGAAATCAAAAACAACTGATCTATTAAACTAGCATATGAGTACAAAATCTGCATTGTAATCAAAATAGTTACTTCTTTTTCACACCCATAGCAGCTTTTACAGCTGGTGACTGAATTTTTGCCATTGGTGGTTGCCCTAAAAGACGTCGCTTTTTAATGTACTGTTGTGCAAGCAGACGACTGCGAGGTGCGTCCCTTGGTTTTGTCGTAGGAGCAGCACCAGCTGAAGACAATCTGACTGGTGACTGAGGATTTGATCGTCTTACAGGTTCCGTTAATGATGAACTGTTATCGGCAGATGGCTTTGCAGGTGGAAAAATGCATGTACGCTTGCTATCGCTTACTTCCTCATCGGTAGAGATTTTACGTTTCTGAAAACATAATCATTAGAATATTTTGCCAGAACTAGTTAAGAGTTTTTTTTTTTCAATGCAATAACTGAAGTTAATAATAAAAGGTGGGACAGCGCCAAATAATAATCTAGGTTTTGCAATACAAAAGACTTTCATACTCTCTATATTTAGCTATATGGGAAGTAAATATGGAGAACAGGGACAGGGATGGCATAAGGATTAGTAGAACCGCGTCACTTTTCAATAATGAATAACTTGTAATAAAGAAGTTAATCTTATCGATAAGTCCTGCATTTTACCTTTTCTACCGTTTTCTTCTTGATAACTGTATCTTCAACATCACTGTCTTCGTCGCCTTCAGCATACTTCGACTTAAATTCCAATTTTCCTTTATTAACATAAAAACCTCCGCGTGCTGTATCCAAAGCAGAAGGAACGTGTTCATCATACTGAAATAATTATCATATGATTGAAGCCATACAAGTAAGATAAAAATATCTAGGACCAATATCGAAATAAATCTTGAAAAGGTTACAGCTTCCGTGTCATCAATAAATGGATCCGTGAGATCGTAACCGGCCGTCTTGTCCATGTAATCATCAGCACAACCAAAACGAATTTTGTGGCCATGCTTGTCTCTCTTGCCACCCTGAAAACAAGCAAATAATTCATATTTTGGATAAATATCATTGTCATGATGAGACTTCCTTTTTATAGATTTCCAGGCAACTGTAAGTACCGCACACATTATGAAAATAAAGCGAAATCAATTCATTTAAGCAATCGAGATGAACGTAATAATTAAACTTACATATTTTTGTTCCAACCTTCTCACTATTTCTTCTGCTTCACGATCATGGAAACGTTCATCCTCACCGCTTGATTCATCTTCTTTCTAGAATTACACATCTATATCCATCGCAAAAACAACTATCAAAAATTTTTGAGGGATCAATACATACAAATAACCATGGCGTGCTGATGGATAGGGTTCATTGCATAAAATTAAATTGGATGCATCAATGAATGAAATTTAAGGCTGACAAAGATTTGAATATTTTAAGTAGAGAATTCCCCTTACACAGTATACCATCTACGTCCTTTTGATGGAAATTAGCCATTACTACTAACTTTCAGTGATTCTGATTTCCAAAGTTAACCCACTTAAGGGATGCTCCATTCATCACCGCCACCGTTAGAATTGCATTCAATAAAGGGTGTTCCAGAATACAGTGGCTGATCTTGTTTGGAAAATATATCATTGGGAATATACGGAATGATTTCCAAAATACAAATAAATCGATTACCAGATACTCTTTGCAAATTTTTTCGTAGTCAAATTCTGGGTATGACTTTTTGGTAGGCTTAAATAAATCCAACGTAATGATGCTGTACTTCTTCCGAACATGGTGTTGTTTTTTCTTGCTTCCGCCTAGGTTCAGATCCATACTACCTGTAACTCTTACTTAACATGTACCTTAAACATCCTATAAATAACATTTGTAGCATGCATAAATGAGTTTTGAATACCATCCTCCACTTACTTTTTGAATGAATCAAATCTAAAAGGGACCAGCATTCTTCAGGTATTCAATTTGCAATCAAAAACTACTCTCCACGAAATAAAGAAGTAGTGGTGCTTTCATAGAGTAAATGAAATCTGATTAAAATACGCAATCGAAATCTTGACATTTGTGTCGATCAAAACAGAGATTATTAGTTCAAGAATACGACTGATCTCACTGACCCCGAAATCAAAATACCTGTATTCTTCATCTTAATTCCCATCTAAATCACATCCCTATTTAACCTCTCCATCTCCTCCGTCAAAAAACTCTTAATGTCATCTGTGTGATTCCTAAAATCAAATAAATTTAGCCCCATACAATTTACCCTTTACCAACTACTATGGTCCACACAAACTTCACAATGGACAATCATAGTTACACACCAAGACCATATTCGTGTTTTGCTACGGTGATGATTAAGAATTTTCTATTATTGTATTGCTACAAATACGGGCAATATTTGGTTGGAAAATTTTAACTTGAATATACGACCGCAAGAGGTAGGGATAGATTAACATATAGATTGAACGATATATGTCGGGATGGATTAACATATAGTTCATTTTATGCATTCTTGTGATACACTATTCGTGGTTTGTGAAGCCTTTTAGATTACTGCTGTGGTTTTTTAAAATCTTTTTTTGCTTTATGAAAGATTTCAAATGGTAAAATATTTGAGGTGGAAGTTTTATCTTGAAAGAGAAAGGTAATGTGTACTACTTTCACGTTAGTTGAAGTTCCTAAAGTTCGAAAGTTTGTAAGTAAGTTGAAGTTTTTTCTTTCTTTTTTCATTCAATGATAAGAAATAAGCTAAAAAGCCAATCAATCCAACTTTCCAACTTTAAATGGTAGAATGAACTGAATATAAGCTTCTTTCAATAAGCAATAGTTCTACTTGTTTTAATACTGTTTAAATCGAATTCAACTTATTATGGAAGGAATCTAAAACTGGAAAGGATCTACTAAGACACTTTCTTTCCTCTACAAATACTCTTTTCTTGGGCTATACTAAGCGAAACGTTAAATACCCTTAGCCATTTGGACAAAATGAGATTGTCCTTGATTTTTCCCGGAGAAGAGTATGAATAAAATTAGTTTTTGATTTAGGATAATTTTCGAGATTGGAATGATTCTGCATGTTAGATTTCATCTAGCCAGCATTAGCAAATTTGTACGTAGTACTTCTTCCATTCCTTAGAAAAGCTAGTGTGGAAACATGGTAGATTTCCATAAGTTTCAGACAATGAACAGTACATTACCATGTACTGATTGAGGAGTAGCTGAAACGAATCACTTCTTGTTGTCTATGTTTTCTCGTCTCTTCAGTTTTTCATTTATCCGAAAGAACGGTGGTAGTTCCAAATATTAAAACTGTAGCATTTACCGGACAGCAAACTGGAAATACGCGCGATGGCCAGTCAAATGTTTTTGAATATTTACTTCTTGCAAAGAATGACAATTCCTTACGATTTAGAAATGCGTAACTCTCAATCATTACCCACAATCGAACTTTTCCCTGGCATTGCGACGGTTGTCTAATTGTCAAATTCGAATTAAAGTTTAAGCCACCTGAGTCCCTGTTAGATGAATGAACAGCATTTCAATATAATCAATCATTAAATTATCGTAAATTTTACTTAAATTAAAATTAAACATGAATATCATAGAAGGGAGGAAATGAATAAAAAAAAAATTCGTGGACAGGCTTACTGCTAGTAGAAATAACATGCAGAAATTGTAACCGGAAACATATAAATCGAATATAACAATATGAAAATATGGATGAATAAATTTACATAATCAAATATACTGATAAACCTCGAACGTTAGTGTCCTTGAGAAATATCATATCGCTGACTGATTACGCTGTGAGAATAACGTAAAAGATGCGCCAAATACTCAAATAATTCATTAGATTACAACAACATAGGAAGTGGCAGTTCTTGAACAAATGAAGTCTAATGAAATCATTGAAATTACAGAAGTATTTTAGTCTGAGATTGCTCGTTTAATCACAGTATCTCCAACAGTCGGATTGCATATTCACTTCTCAAGTAAGTTTCGAAACTTAATAAGGATGCATTGTTTTATAGTTGCAAAATACTGTTAATTATTCTAGAAAGGCATTTTTAAAATCTCCAAAAATTTTTCATTTTGCAAAGTCAGGTTAGCAAGCCTAGAGCGACCACTTACTTAAAATTGGAGTTCAGATGATTAATGATTATTAATTAATGATCTCAGATGACTAATGGATTTTACCCCAACTGAAGTCGAGACTCAAGTTCCCCGTCTTTAAAGTTGGGTAAGTCAAGCAATAATTTTAAAACTAATAAATGGTGAAAACTTTTTCTAAGAATGAAGGTAGAAGTGGCGCCGTGTGACAAAACATAATGTTAGATGAGAAGCAAGATGAAGTATGAGGAACACAGTAAGGTAACAACCAAAATCCATGGAAAAGGATCAAAAAGAATTCACCGGTAACGTTAAAAATGACCAGAATTTCAAAAGGATTTCATCTTATTAATCATTTCACCTGATTAATAAAGCTGTTAAAAGAAGTACTGGTCCTCTAACTTCGGTATTATTGAAATGACCAAAGTAACTGCATACCTGTAAAGAATCGCAAGTACCACTTCTTGATGGGTAATTAATTTCTTCACCTAAAAATTTTGCACTTCAACAAATGACTAAAATAAATAGACATACTATCATCCAATAGCCAATATATGCTGGCAGATGGCAGTAGGCCATTTAAATAAGTAGTAACTGAACCTCTAGTACCCAACAAGAAGTAGATTACAAGAACAACTGAGTTATTCTGAAACAAACCTTTCCAAGCTCAATATTTACAATAATATACATGGGAACTGCTCTGAGAAACAAACATATAATTTACACGAGAAGGCCAAAAATAAAACAGTGATTTGTACGAATAAGGTAATAATTTAAAATAAAAAGCCATGATGCCGTACCTGTGACCATAAACATTAAGCATTTCAAAGATGGAAGAAACCGATAGGAATTCATTAGCTGCACTTCGGTAGAATTATTATAAAAACTTGCCTATTTCTTCCTTCAAAAATTGCAATTCCAAAATTTGATATATAAATTTTGCAAATTTAAACTCTTGAAGAATTATGCTGATGCAATGAAGCACACTATGACATAACTTGTGTAATTCCTTCATAAAAATACTGCATTCTCTAATGAAAATAAAAAGAAATTGGTACCAGGACAGGATTAGAACCGGATTTCGGACCCGATACTCTGGAATAAATTACACTCAACCATGAGCAACTACACCAAGAACGAAATCATGCCTACAGTGCTTCTTTCAGAAAGAAGTAAACTGATAAATTACGAAACATTACTAACACAAGAAATAATCATATCTCTTTGAAAGTCAGTGCATCAGCATTATAATAATGAGCCATAATGGAATGCTTTATGAAGAATCAACAGCAAATGCTGTAGCGAAAAAAAAGAAAAAAAAAACTTAATATCGTGAGAAATGAAAAAGGAAAAAAAAATGAAAATATCAACAAGAACATTACCTAAAATATAACAATGGTGGTGGCATCAGTAAAGTAGATAAAAATTATGGAAGTATGTTTTTGACGTTACGAATCTCCTTTACACTATTTAAAGATTTTTGAGAACTTCTGTGAACAATTTAACAAAAAGAATTCTGTAAACATTTCCAAAAAGTTCTCTAAAAAGCTCAAACAACCAGCATAAAAATTTTAGTTCTCCAAATTGGCTTATTTTCTGCATTTTGAGGAATAATAAATCATTAATTGTAGTTTTTTTTTCCTTTTCCAATTTGCATAAGAAAAGTACCCGAATTGCAACAATTAACAACTATACATTATTGAAACGGACTCGTTTCTTTCCATTGCCATTTATACTACCATTATTATTGCTTTCAATATCACTCTTATTATTGTTAGGTACAATTAATGGACTTTTGATGCAAGTGGACAATCGCAATTTGCCATCGTTTAACAATGGTTCTTTCGGTATATTAACGGTGCTACATGCAAGCAACGGCTCTATGCCATTTTCATATGGTAATGAAGTAGTTGAACCGTTTGGTATAAGCTGTAGAAGATCTAAGGGTACTCGTCGTAATGGATATGATAGTTTTTTCATACGTCTTCCTAAAAAGAAAAAAAATGTTACGATGTTACAAATAAAAAAAAAAAAGTTATGAAAAAGAAAGAACTTACTGTTTTCGATCTACAGCAAAGCTAGTGCAATCAAAAACATCAGGCTACAATGCGAACTAAAGAATATTTCCAAAAAATTAAGAAAAAAATTTATACAAAATAGAACTTACCGTCCTCGACATACAACAAGGCTATTGCAATCAAAATGAGTAATGAAACGACGGCAAGTATACTGGCAATAACCGTTATCCAGACATTATGCTTTGCCTCATTTGTACCTTCCGCTGCGCAAACTCGCGATCCAACACATCCCATGTTACCATCAACCACGTTCCGATCGCCAATTGATAATAACCAGTCGGCTAGCCATTCTTCACCGCAAACACACTGCCAGAGATTATCTACAACACGAGAGTCCCATCTATTCGAAACGATACAAAAATGGAGTACAGAAAGTGTAAAACGGAATGGTAAGAAAGATGGATAGTGATGAGAAAGCACACCAGAAAAATCCGGAAGAAGTCAGAAATTAAAAGTCATTGTTTTCACTGTTAAAGAATCGGAGAGATCACTCAAGTCCAACGAAATTCAGAGGATAATTGCAGACAAATTAGTATTCCTTTTTTTTTTTTTTCCCATATATAGCAGCAAGATTAATGGCAAAAAGGGGAAGAAGGAACGAGATACCTGAAAAATCGACGACACTGAGTTGCTCAACATTGAGATTATCGAGTAACCGCTTGGGCAAATACACAAGACGGTTACGATTGAGGTAGAAACGTCTTAAAGGCAAACCAATAAGTGCTCTGTCATGTATCTGAAGCTTTTTCTTGTTGAAATATGAATAAAATATCTGGAGAAGTAAGAAACTGTTGCTCGAGACTACAACAACGCTACTGACAACTCTGGTAGAGAATACAACATACAGCTAGATCATTTCACATTTTACTACGCTGTGAAAGCGCATAATACTGTGAGCCTAGTTTTCAGCATCATGATTTTGGTCCCAATATGCCAACTTCAATGTTTTTACTAAGAAAAACGTATAAAACTAATAACATCACAAATATAATCACGTCAAATTCTTCAGTAAAACCAGTGGAAAAAGTTACTGACCTCTTCAATTTGATTGTTATCAAGCGCTAATAACTTCAACGAGGTCAACGTGCTGAAATCGTGTTCTCCCACGTGTACCAAATTATTGTTCGATAAATATAGTTTAGTGAGCTTTTTCAATGGTCGCAAAAAAGATATATCTGCTGTAACAAAAATAACAGTAAAAGAGAACTTTAATGCAAATTATAAACTATAGAAAAAGCCGTTTTCATCTGGCTTATCTTTATAAGAGACAAAAAGAAAAGAAAAAAAACATAAATTTATAAGAAATTTTACCATCCTGGATTTTAGGGATATTTTTTGTTAAAACACCGAACAAATAAAACATATTCAACATATTAGGAATGATTACCGGTTCCATCACTACTTGTCAATGAAGTGAGATGATTGTTTTGTAGCGAAAGTGCAGTAATTTGATGTATTGGCTCTAAAGCTCGAGCTTCAATTTTTGCAATATTATTCGCTGCTATCGAAAATGTACTGAGTCTAAAAAATAAAAAAATCTGGAGAAAACTTTTTTTCTACCTTTGCTAAACATCATTAATTATCATCGTATCCTCAAATACTAATCGCTTTTTTTTAAACAATAAGAAGCAATATCAAATGAAGAATGATGCTTCCATTTACATAAAATGTGACTTTCCGGTTATTTTCATATCAATTTCAATAAATATGCTGTATCACTACAGCAGCAGTTTAGCACTGCATTTTTAGGTATGATGCAAAGACGTCAAAACAGATTCTCCTACCTGCTGCTTTCATCTAGCGAATGCAAATCACCATTGAGTATTTCGGTGATCGAATTCCTATCTAAGCTTAACAAAGCTAGACTACGCAGATCACGCAACGTGATATTTTTCATTGATTGGATGCTATTGTTGTTAATAAATAATTTTTCCAATGATTTCAATCCACGAAGATCTACTCGCGAAATATGATTGTTTCCTATAATCAAGATATAATCGTCTTGTTTTAATGGAATAGGTAACATTAATTGGCAATCTTCTAATGGGTGAGCAAATGTAAAGTAAATTTCTGTATCTTCTTAAATCTACATTCTTTTCAATCAATCAAAATTTCTATTCGCTTTCAAACATTTCTGTATATTAAAACCTAAGTTCCCAATGATTTCTGGTAATTACACACCTTAAAGATGATATCATTTACACACCAATTTCTGACAACTCCAGTCGTTCTATTCCAAGCATTTGAAAGTTTAAATAAAAATTTATAAAAGGCAGAAACTTTATTGAAAAAGTACCCACCAAGATTTAAATATCGCAAATTCTTTAACTGTGTGAAAGCATTCCAATTAACGTACATTATATTGTTGCTTTGCAAATGTAATGTTTCTAGGTTGTTAAGACCACGGAAAGTACCACTGAAAATAAATTAGAGTGTCTGGACAACAATGTATTGTGTCGACTGGACAAAACTCTTTAAATACAGATTTCCATAGCTATGAATACTAACTGCACTTCTCATCTCTATCAGTGATGAACGCCTAACGATAAAGAAAAGAGTAAACTTCGAAAAGTTGATTTTTTATGCATCCTTTCCGTGACGTCAAACAGTCCAATGTATTCGATACATTTTTTTTTTTTTGATGGCAATCAACAGGGATACTAAGCAAACACATAATGAAATAAGAAATGAAATCCTTGCAGATTAAGCAAGTTAGCTATACTGGAAATATAATTCAACTTACACCGATATATTCGTCAACTTATTGTTCGCTAGATTCAATGTTCTTAGATTGGTTAAAAACGAAAAAGCACCATCTTCGATATTCGATATTTGATTATCACTTAAAATTAGCATGTCTAAATCTTTCAACCGATCCAATTCACCTTAAAAAGAAATTTATTAAGAGAAATGTATAAACAATAATAATAATAATAATAATAATGATTAATGATAATAATAATAATAATAATAATAATAATAATGATAATAATAATAATAATAATAATAATAATAATAATAATAATAATAATAATAATAATAATAATAATAATAATAATAATAATAATAATAATAATAATATATA